ATATAGCTGACATTAGGTTGTATACTTAAGTGCGATACCCACCCACTTCTGGATTGGGATAGCAGCCACAAAGTAGGTGTACTCTTGCTTCAGAGCTCATACTACACCTTTGCACAGGAATATGTAGATGGCCTTTGAACTCCTGAAATTAGGACACACTACCAGCTGTTAATGATGAAACCACCCAAGACCACCACGACACCACCAAAACACTTCAGTGTGGAATCAAAAGACTGATTTACTTGTGTTCAGTACAAACAGCAGTGTCTCTCCAATAAGAGGTGTATTGCTGGTACCACTGTGTAGATAATATCTCTTTCTGTGTGATCCTCAGTGAAATTTCCAACATTCTGTTTCCCTTTCAGAGCATAAGAAGTCACGAATAGTTGCAACACAGTGGTCCAAAACCACCACTGTGGATGGTGGAGGAGAACAGGTAAGAGCTCGTATCATACGGGTTGTGGTATTTGCATAGCAGGTCACAGGACAAATATTAGAAAGTCCTTGCCACAAAACTTAAAATGAATTTTTCTCCAAGGTGGTGTGCTGGCAGATACAATGACAGGGACACCTGGGACACTCTGAAACAACTGTCAGGCCTGAGCTGTGGTTGCTATTTACCTTCCATGTACCCCAGAGAGGACAGCCTGGGCATGTACCCAACACACCAGTGCAGGCATTGTCCTGGTGCCTTCCTTGAAGCATGAGAGTCCATGGAAACGAAGTTGGTACAATCTTAAATTAAGACTGGAATATATCATAGTAATTGACTACTCTATTCCCCTTTGCATATCTCCTGTCATCTCTCTGGAAGAGGTCAAATTAGGTCCTTCTGACCCCTGGGAAAAGGATGAGAGAGGGTTCCCCAGCCAGCTACAGTGGTACAAAATGATGTCACATGTAGAGACATCTATAGCACTGCATTAGCAGTTGGTTGGTATTATCTTGGGCCAGTATGTAAATGGTTGCTAGGTGCATTTAGGGTGACAGGTAATCCTGTGTTTGATGCTCTCTGGCAATGTCAGAGTTGAGACCCTGGGGCTGAGAGACTGCCTAGACACGCTCTCTTTAGGTGCCCTGCAGCTGTAATGTGGAGTTGGAGCACCCTGGGAATCCCTTGGGTCACCCTGGCTGCTGGGGTCCTGTGGATTATTGCACTGTAGGAGCCTGCACTCACAGGGGTATCAGTCAGCCTGCTTCCATGGTATCTTTTACATCCAAAGCCAAGACAACATGAATCATCTGAGAATTTGCCCTGAAGTGAGCTGTTGCAGGGTCCTACAGAGACAGTTATAAAACCTTTGATCATCCCGCTGCAACTGCTGAAGTGCCACACTGAGATGCCCCCCCTCTAGATTCCCCCTGCCTGCTCTGTTTCCTGTCACCTCTGCAAGGAGAAGCGGTACCAGCCCTCTAGATTCCTGCACCAGGATGCTGTTCTCCACTGATGGAAGCTTGGCAGTGATTTCAATGCATCCAGACGTCTGGGCAGGGTCTCCCATTGCGCTTGGTCCTGTTATCAGGGACATAAAAGGAAGGAGGCACTTCTTACATTCCCCTACGTGACCCAAAGCAAAAGTTCCATGTGTGGATTTTTTTGTTCTTTTGGGGAGAAAGGAATGTAGGTGGGTCTAGTAAAATAAATTGCAGGACTTTTTGTTTTGATTAAAGCTATTGTGTAACAACTGCTTGTATTTTCTGTAGTCACATTCCTACAGCTACACTCACAATAGAAGGCAGCTTATTTTCAAAATGAGAGGAAGACTTGACAAAAGGTTACAATTAAGAAAGAAAAGCTAACAACATTGATAAAATATGTCCTTATTATAAAATTATTAACCCTAATCCATACTTCAGACAGCTATAAACCTGGTTTTGGTTTCCAGCTGCAGGCTAAAAATTGTTACAATGATAATGAGCTTTCTCAAATGCAATGCATGGTGATAGAAAAGCAATCCAAATATAAATAAGAAAACTATTTTTCTTATATGAAAGACGTATTTTTTTCTCCAGAGAAATGCCACATTCATGTTTAAAGCATAAAATACAGTAAAGAAATAGACAGCAGTATTTAAAACATGCAGATGAGCTCCAGAAGGCATTAGCATAGCTGGTTGCAAAGAAGGTATTATTTATCTTAGGAGTCACTGGGTAATGTGTAACATATACAGAAAAGAGAGGTACGAGGTCAGCTCTCATGTTTAGAAGTGATGGTAGTTTGGAATTGGAAATATTTTTTATGAGGCCCTCTGCCACTTAACTTCCAGGAAAAAATACTGTGGCAAACGAATTTTTTCAACCTTTCCTTTTCTCTCTAATTTTCTGTGTATGAAAGCAAGATATTTTCTATATTTTTCATCTTGAGAGTTCCTGAAAACTAAGAATAGATGAAAGGGAGACATGCTAACCAGCTTCTTCCAGAAAAATTCCTGTATCTACAGATTCATGTATTTTAGGGTTTCAAAGGAACATTGTGATTATCTAGTCAGAACTGCCTGAGAGGCTGTAAAACCACACCAAGTAATCTCTCCATCAAGCATATAACATCTGTTTGAGTAATTGCATACCTCTTATAGAGATACCTAGTCATGATTTAAGGTCTGCAAGTGATGAAGTTCTGCAGTCCTTACTCAGGATTTGACTCAGTGAAAACACTGGCATATTATGCTCACTGTAAGTTAGGTTTGAAGGAACAGAAAGTAATTTAACTTGCTGTAAAACAGTTCTGCTTCAAATCTGTATGAACAAACTCTACAGAACTTAAAACAAACTAAAAGAATGCATAATAAGAACACTTGTGCACAATCTTCCCTTTTGTAAGGACACAAAAACAATTCTATTATTTTTCTTGGAATTTTTAAAGAACATTGACTGAAAAGATGAATTCTGAAGGTGGATCTCTTTGGTTTTAAACTTATTTACTTTTCTATTTTAGTGATCTCTAGGAAGAGTTTCCAGCCCTCTGTATGACATATTGTTCCTAATATACATTCTAGCCTTTTTTTTTACCTTCGGTATCTTTTTAAAGACACCAATGTAAAGAGACTTACAGTAGAGGCACTAACTGTAAGTAGTGAGATAAGTTCTCTCACAAGTGCCACAGGAATTCAAACTTCCATAAACTAATGAGACTTCAGGTGTTTGGATTTGACACCAGAGCAAAATAATGACTGAACTGCTCACTTACTGACAAACATCACAGAAGCATAAGAGCTCTGTTGCAGAAATAAGGACTAACTGGCATTCTGATCAACATATCTGTGCCTATGGCAGGAGCTGTATAAATATACTTGGTTGTTAATGTGATCAAGCTACCTGAAAAATACATGTAGACAAAAGATGGCATTTTCTGAATAGATGTGGATACAATATGTTCACAGATCATGTCAGGATGTGAACCTATGCTGATATGCAACTTTAAAGTACACACTGCCAGAAATTACTTTCCCTCTTTCAGACACATTAATAAATAGTAGAAAAATATTTCAGAATATAATATTATCAAAACATACTCGTATTGGTAATCTTGTTTTCTGTGGTAGTGAACATTAGGCCTACATAAACATTCAAACCATGGTAGCTCTTCTCTTTGAAATAGCAAATGTTTCCAATATTCATTCACACCATCTGATACAAGAATAGATTTTGCTTACGTCCAGTGATGCCCTGCTATTGCTTGAATTGACTGTCACAGCTGAAGGTCATGGAGTGACTCAGTGCCAATAAAAACAGATGAAATACTGGGAAACCACTTTTTAAAAATCTTACCTTGCTAAAAGGAAGCCCAATTGCCTGAAAAAAATGTAAACTTTGAAAAGATGAGCATCAGTCATGGCTTCTCAGCTCAGCTTTCAAAGTTACATCAACAGAAAAAGCAGTCAAAATATTTGCACACCTAAATAAAAAAAAAACCCTAGGATTTTACTTTGGAACTTAAAATAGCTCAGTTCATTCCCCTAGTCAGATAGAGACTTCCTGTGTCACTGTGGGTAAATTGCTTGGGACAAGGTTTCTGAAGGCATGTAGATGTCTAAGTTCATATTTAGATGTGCATTGGAGTATTTCCTACAGATTTTCATAACTAACAAGCACTGAAAATGAGAGTATATCTACTTTTAAATTGATCTTTAAGTGTTTTTTTCCTAATGGTTAGTCTGTGGGTTATTAGGATCATCATGAATGTGGGCTATCATTGAATCATAGAATATTCCGATTTGGAAGGGACTCATCAGAATCATCGAATCCAACTCCTGGCCCTGTGCAGGACACCCCAGGAATCACACCATGTGCCTGAGAGCATTGTCCAAGCACCTCTTGAACTCAGACAGGCTTGGTGCTGTTTTCACTTTATATTTTTTGGATAAGTAAGTTTGATGCCTATGAAGATTTTGAGAACCGACAGGTCTGACAGTTTACTCTAGAAGTGTAGACTGTTCCAACCTATAATATGAGAATAATTGTACCTTCACTAGGAGCTATCAAATAAACACAGGACACATTGTGAGAAAGTTATTTTGTGTCATGATGTAGCCATATTTCAAGTTTGACTTAAGACAAGGAAAAGAAAATTTCCAGTTGCTGCATAAAGAATATATGTTTTTTCGGTAACTTACTCTCCCTATTTCCACAACTCATCAAAGAAGAAAGAAAGAACACTACATACAAAAGTGTAAACTAGGTAGGGGAGAAGTTCTCAAATCAGAATTTGATAGCATTTAAATACCTGAAATCACACAGCAGACTGCTGCTCAGTACATCCTGGTAGTTTCTCAGCACCTCAGAATTAGGGCAGATTTTGTATATTTGTTTCAGACTTGATTCTGCCATAATAAATTAAATGAATCATCTCAACTTATGCAGAATTTCCTTGAAATCAAGAGGACTAATTACACAAAAATCACTCACAATTGGAGGAGTTGCAGTGAGGCCACATGCACTTAAGCCAATTGAAAAAGCTCTTTCCAGAACGCACATTGCATATGTATGAATAAGCTAATTGCTGACAGGAAGGCACTACTGGTGTTTAAATGTGATGCCTCAGAAGCAACATTTGGCTCAAGGAATTTCTTCATTTGAGGAGCTTGGAAGGGATATCAGTGAAAAACAATTAAATATATTTCTTATAATCCTTCATAAGCATTTGCTATGAGCAGCCATCAGGGGTGAGATAATGCAAAAGGCAGTTAGGTCAGTACTTCACTGTCATAGATTCCATCACAACTGTATTGCAGTTTGAAAAGATTTCTACACCATAAACTTTGACACTTGTCATTTTCTTCCTGCCACAGTGGACCAGTAAGATATGACTGCTGAGGATCTTTATGTTGACGAAGTAGACAGTGCAGATATTATGAGATTGGTACATGCCATTTAGCAGTCTAGTTTCCCTATGCTTTTTAGATTTATAGAAATACTTTAATGTTTTGTACTAAGAGGTAAAAAACCATTTCTTATCCAAAATATTCAACTATGGTTAGTCCACTTTAATTATTGTATATAAAAGTGTTTTATTCTTTTCTTCAAATCAGACTGGCAGAGATCATTTAGAGCATTCATCTAGAATGGTCTCAATAAAAACTAATCAAAAGCTCCTGTGAGTTTGAGCATGGGATCTGGTAAACTCAGTAACAAATAAAACATAATTCTAAACATTCACGTTCACACACAAAAAAAAAAATTACAAAATCTGAACAATAAGTTAATAAAGTAAAATAGTTATCTACTCTTCAGATATAAAATCCCAGCAACTTAATTTATATATCACTATAGCAGATATGATAAAATTATGAATAATGCTATCCACTGTCATAAGTGGTACTTCAAGATTTCCAACAGAAAACTTATATTTTAATTTTCTGTTCATAAATAGCCAAAAGTAAGAGGCAAAGCCAGCCTAATAGTAATCCAAGGTTCTGTAGGAGAAACATCAACCAGGGTCGTCGCGTCTGAATATGAGTCATTTCAGGAAGCTAAAAAAAGAATAAGACACCAGAATGAGAGCCAGATACATTCATCTGTGGGAAAAAAAGTTATGGGAAAACAAGGCAAACTTCATTTAAAAAAACAAAAACTTTTCAAAATGCTGAGCTTCTGAATGTAGTTATTAATGTGTAGCATTTTCTGTACATTGTAACAAAGCTGATCTTTACAGTGAAATATTTAAATTAACCAAATATATGGGCATTAACCAAATACCCATTTTGGTTCTTTTACTAGCACTGACAAGAATTATAAATGAGATTCTGAAATTTGTTAGCTTCTCAATAGTTTGTAGCAATTTCATATAGCTATCTGCAAGGAAATGCTTATTTAGTAAGATTAGTTATTCCCTTTTGTGGGAATAAATTAGTTGGAGTATTTTTTGTTTGAGTTCTAAATATAGGGTCAATCATGCTCTTTCTGAAATAACTGGCAACACTCCTATTTACTTGGGCTTTAGTAAATGCACAAGAGGAAAAGAGGATTTTTTAAATATGCTTGAACAAAATGTGTTTAATATTTTTCTCTGTGAGTTTTAAATCATATAATCCTACTAAAAACTACTTCACTCTAAAAACCTTCCACTCTACATGGTCTCTTTTATCAAAGTTTTAAACTAAATGTACGTCTAAACAGAGCCTGTGAAAATGACGTCTCAGGCTCAAATTCTCTCAATATTTTTGCTTTATGTCTTATAGACACCAGGGGAAACACTAATGACTGCTAATACTTTCACATCAACTCAGGAAATAAATATAAAGCAATGGTCTGGTGCTGACCTCTGGGTTTGGTTGGGATTCTTTGTCTGCTCCGCTCGCAGCCTGCACTTGAACAAAGCTACTGAGTTCCTCTGCTCTTTGGAACCTCTTCACAGTAGCTGTAACAGCAGCAGCCACTGGGAGACAGTGGAGTGGTGCTGACCAAGGAGGCTAGCAGGAGTGTTTGCTATGCTTATCATTCCCTCTGTTCAGAGAGGGGGTTCTCTGGGGCTGCTTCTTTTGTGCTCTTCTTTCTCTGGAAGTTGTCATGGGCCCGAAAGAAAACCGTAATGGAAAATCAGCCTCCCCTTTAAAGTTTTGTTTGAAAATAACAGGCAAATCCAAATGCCCTGGATCTTCATTACAACTAGGCAGTGGTTTAAATTATGGTACAGAAACTCATGTAGTTATACTCGATCAGTATGTAAAGATAATTGGAAACTTTTAATCCAAAGCAAGTGCAAACACTTCAAAGTTCTGGATGTAAATCAAAATCTGAACTGACATTTTGTAAATGCACAGAGCACATGGTTTTTTGTTGTGTATTTAAGTAAAAACTGTTAATTAGGACCTAAGCCTGAATTCAGAGTTCCAGTCTAGACATTTGGTCTTTCTTATTTATCCTTATAACCAGTCTATTTTGTCCTCTTCCCCAGTGCCTGAGTGAACAAGTTCTCCAACTGGAAACTTTTTCTCCTCCCACTGCAAAATCTAGTCTTTCCTCTTATTGCTGTCAGTGAAAATTTCTGAGTTATATACAGTAAGTTTCTAAGAGAGTTTTCAAAAAGAATTCTCGTCAGGTAGTGCCCTTCCCATGTCCAGTGCTGGTGTCTGCTCCCTCCATCTAACCTATGTGCATATTATCAACACACAGACCACTTCTATAACCACACCTAGTGTGACATCCCTGCTTATCTGTAAAAATAAAAGCTGATTGCTGTCACAATATCAGCAATTCTCTCTGAACAACAAAGTGTGCGGTACAGCAGAGTGAATCTCGTTTAGGAAGCATAAGCCTATTCAACCAGCAGATGCAAACTGCTTCAAAAATTGAGGGAATGTAGTACCACATCAAGGGACTACTCTATTCTCACTCCAGCTCATGTTATCATGACCACACAAAAGATAAGAAGAAATAGGAAGCAGCACGCTGAAAGGAGGTATGAGGGGCCATGTACTGGCTAAAAAGGAGTTCTACCAAACTGGGGCATATATGGCATGACTGTTGCACTGCAACAGCCAAGTAAATCACTTTAAACACTTCTCCTTTATTTTCAAAATCAAAAATAATTGTAAGGTTAGTCAGAGCAAACATCCGTTTTGCATAATTTCTTGGTGAAAAATGATGAAGGATATAAATGATTTTATCTTTTGACTTTTTTCAGTTTCTAAAATGATTAGTCTACCCTGCTTGCTAAAGGAGCTAGAATGCCATTTGTCAAAATGAAAAACCTTTAATCAACCACAGAAATAGTTTTGTGCTAACTTGACTGCATCAGCTGTTTCACAGTGCTGTTCCGTCAATAAACCTCCACTCATACCCCTCAATGTTCCTCAACGCAGAAACCAGTGAGGTTGTTCAGTTTTACTGAACTGCTGCTCTGACAAGCACATGAATATGTGAAAGCCCATAAAACAAGTACCGAAAATTACAGGCAAGCTTTGTATTCCGTTAAGTGTTTGTACACCATTGGCAGGAACACTGATGATTGCTGTTTGTAGATGAAAGTGCAGCAGAGAATAGAAGCTACTTCTGAGCAGAAAGTTGAAAAATACATAAAGAATGGCTCATTTTCTTGACATGTACTATACAAACATACAAAACTTTTCAGATCTATAGATTCCCTTAGTGCTACATGAATAATTTTTTAAAATAAAATAATCCCTGGGATATTTGACACTTCTGACAAACATAGATGAGCAAACCAAAGAGAATATACAGAGAAATAGATACAGAGATACAGAGGATATATAGAGCCTATTAATAAAAGGTGTTGAGAGAAATAAGATCCTCCCTTCTCTCTCTCTTCTTTCTCCACATCAAGACCAAGATCACAGTGACAAGCTGAGAACAAGGGAAAACATGTCCCTGTCTCTGCCTGGAACTGTATTATCTCTTGAGATTTACAGCTGGCACAGTGCTTTGAAGACTCAGGGAAAAACATGGTATTGTTCTAGAAGCTTGTGGATCCCTGATAAATGCTGATCTTACACTGATTGCAAAATACGTCTATATCATTCTTAGCCTATTAGTAAAACCATGCCTACTCAGTAGGTAGGCAGCCTCATTTCCAAATTTTGCAGTCTCAGAACAAGCTGCAGCTTGGTACACAGTGTTCTTGTCTGTTATTTACCACCTCAGTCAAGACTGTTGACACATCCACAATCCTGAGGCAGTTCCCTCTTAAGCTCTTAGGAGCACTTTATGTTCACTTTAGTTACAATAGCAAAAATAGGATAAATACTACAAAGGTCTGAGGTCAATTATTAGAAGCAGGATTTTAAATAGGTTGTAATACTGGAATCAGATTGAAAGTGTTATGCTTGAACCTGGTAACTAATATCTCAGGCATAAGGTAGGGGGTAGTAGTGAACACAACTGAGAGACAGCCAGGCTTCGGGAAAACACAGTAATAATTTAGGAAGTGACATTTTTTTTCTCCCTCTTCATCTAATCACTCAAAATATTCCGTCTCTGTTCAGGAGCTTGTAGGCAAGTTTACATCAACACATGAGAGCGAAAGACCATGTGACAAAACTGGGAAGGCAATCAAGTTCTGCACTGCTACAAGTGTAACAGTTAGCCATCTCTTCAATAAATGATGGGGCTCGAGGCATCTGCATGAGCTAGGATACTTCCACACCTTTGTACAGTCCTTAGACCTTTCTCCTACTGCATATCTTCACACTTTATTTTTCTATAGTCAGATCATTGCTATTGAACTGGGACTATGAAAAATATTGGGCAAATACAAAAAAGTTGAGGGAATGTGATGGCTTATGAACCACTTAGGAGTTCAGCCAAACCTAAGACAGAAAGGAAGAGTGCAGGATAAGCATCTTTGCATTTTAGTTCAGAAACAGCAAATTCGTATTGGAATAATGGATGAAAAATATATAAAGAAAAGGGTACAAAAAAGTAACTGGTTTCTTCAGGATTTTAAAAAAACCCTGCAGGTTCAAATGTTTAAGTTTTACTAAGTAACTAAAAATATATTGTTTACCTTTCCCCCTTTAAAAGTCCTTTATGCCTTTCTCATATATCAGCCTTCTAATGGCCTTTATTTCACCTTTTCATTACTAATGACACCTAGCATGAGAAGGACATGAAACAAAACCAGATTATTGTTCTAAGTACTGTACATGGAAAGGGCAGATGACATGCTCTTCCCAACAAGCCTATGAACTCTTTTTCTCTCCAAGTTCATCCACCTGCACTTGTCTGACACTCAGCTATGATGTGTGGCTAAGCTGAAAGGAAAATATACCCATAGACTGAAGTTCTCACCATTTCTGCTAAAGATAAATACAAGAACATTCCAGCTGTAACAGTAAAAATCCAGTTTTGAATGGATGGGTCAGTTGAGAGAGAAAGGCCAATATAAAGTCCTAAGAATGCTGTCAGTGCACTTATAAAATTCATCAGAATTGCAATCTTCGTGGGGAGCCCTGTACTTAGCAGCACAGCAAAATCTCCTGCATAGAGAAAAAGACAGAAAATTTATTATTTAGCTGATAAATGTATTTGGAAGACTCTTAGTAATAAAACATGAAGGAAAATAATTCAGACATGCACAAAGATAGTGAATGGCGTAGCGCTGCCTTTAGCTTTCTGTAGAATTAGTTATAAACTCATCTCATATGAAAAAAATACCCAAAACCTCAAAACAACAAAAAAGTAATATTTACTTTATTTGTTTAGCTGTTCCTAAAGATAGTATACAGTATACAGGAGCAGTTTTCTGTTAGTTCTCGATGTTCCATGACATTTCCAACTTGGATACAAGCAAAAGTGAAGTCACATGTTTTCCCAGAGTTTCTAAATCTTTCTCCACTGGGAACTTGCCAGTTCCAAACATGTGGGTATATTTGCAGGATGATGTTTGAGTGTTTTACAGGTGCTGCAAGTCAGAGTAACCTATGCCAGTTTGATTCCAGTTTGAGATTTCATAACAGGCCCACAGAAGAAGATTTTAAAAATTGTACTCTGTGACTGTAAAAATGCCACTGACACTTGGGCATTACTGCCCCAGAATTAAGAGGGTCTGTCTTTGGAGGTAACTGTTGAGTATTTAAATTTTCTCTGCTATGCAAACAAGAGTCACCAGTTTTACAGCAATCCCCCATCCCATCTTTTTGTTTGGGGAAGTTTTCTACATAGTGCATGAATTCTTCAGTCATTTAAGGACGGAAATGAGAATCTGCAGTTCTCATCTCAAACTTTCCAGTTTATACGTGTTCATCAACACAATGTGAGTAACAGCTTCAGCTATGCTGAAAGTTTTACCACAAGAAGTTAATTGAGGACAATATTCAATAGAACAATCTTCCTGTCCTGTCCACTGGTAAAATAGGTCATATACTTTCTTTTAGTACCTTATTATTCTTGATTAGCAGCAGGAAGGAGGGTAACCTGGGGAATATTGAAACTGCTGTATATTGAAAGTCTTGGATAGCCCATTGTTTCAGGCATGTCCATTATGCACACATGGCTCTTGCTCTCAGCTTATAATTTTTTGTCTCTGTACACATAAGAATAACAGGTCACCCTTGGCCTCATGTCCTTTACATTTGGAGAAAGTGAGATGGGATGGCATCCAATAATGAGTGCAGAAGCCTTCCCTGGGTTTTTGGAAGGGGAAAGAAAGTAGGAGTCTTGCACATTAATGTTATAGTTCATGATGTTATAAGCAAGAATTCCCACAAGTATCATACAGGAAAGAACTCTTTGGGAAACCTGGAAATACAAAGCCAATCAGGAAAAATACATATATACATATTTCTTACCCATTTCATGAGGAATTTCATGGCATAAAATAGCAACAGTCGTTGTCACACCTGTTTCTGTTGAGGATGAGAATGCTGCTCCTATCACTAGGCCATCAGCAAAATTGTGAAGACTGTCACCCACCAGAACCATTATTGCTAACAAGCTGATTTTCTTACCTCAGAAAAGATAAAAAAAGAAACAAACAAATAAAAAGCTCAGAAGTTTTAACACAAACAGATATTGCAATTTTTGTTATTTACAAATGATTTGGTTTTCTGGTGACTTTGCATGTAACATTATGATAAGTCATAATAGTCAGAGGAAAATTGTGTTTAATTTCTTTTCCCTTGTTACTGCATTTCCTTCAATATATTTAAAACTAAAAAAGTGAGTTGCAGTACCATTCAGAGATGCAAATACCAGGAAGTAATTTCCCTATTCTTACTAGGTTAACTATTAGACAAAATGTTAGGTTTGAGTCTAGTCTCCGGATACATCCTAAGGGTTTCTATTAATCATTCTTTATTTGTCAAAATTCACACAAGTTTTCCTAGATGTTATTCCTAGATGTTATTTTTCTGGAACTCACAGGATTGCACAGATATATTGAAGATGAATATTTGGTCTCAGGCAGCTGATTGTTTTAATCCTGTAGAGCTTGCTAACACTGAATAATATTTTCAGGGTCTATTTTTTACGAGACTGTATTTCAGTGAAAGATAGAGATGAAAGACAACAAACCTTAGAGTATCACTACTAGTACTGGGTTACAGCATGCTTATTTCCAAAGTTTGTTCCAATCAATTAATGGTTGTTATTCTCCTATCTGGAGCACCACTCATGGGTGCAGGTGGCTGTTTGTCTTTCCCATTCTGTTCTGTGACCTCATTTTAGCATGGAACAATATACTGGCTGTTCATGATCAGACATCTGACATGAGTGGAAAGGTGCTACTAGGGATGCAAGCACTGAAATCAAGCTAGGGAATTAGGGACAGTCTCTCTGTCCAGCCTGTAGCACAGACAGCGGGGTGGCATGCTGAATGGATTCACAGGGAGAGAGTTTATCTCTTAAGTAGCAACAAGGCTCCATATAGGTTCAATGTCTAAACTTAGCAACACATAATGGGCTTCCCTATCCTGTACTTTGTTTTATTCATTCTATCCACAAGCTCACAAGCAGGACTGCCTAATGTTTCTCAGGAAGCTCATCCAGCTTCCCTCTACATAGAATGGACAGAACATTTTGAAAAGGGCTGTTTTCATGCCTGAAGAAGCAGGGTCGTGATTTGGGCCCTAAATATGTATTTTCCTGACTTTTGATGACCCCCATAGTCATAATATGACAGACTAAGGACCTAAAGTGGAGCTGCACAAAAGTGCCTGAATATAGTTATTACCAGGTTTCACTTCAGTAATGTTTCTGAGAGATGACTATTTTATAGTGACAGGGGAGATGTTTTTCTTACAGACATTGGCTAGAAATGAAGTCTTCAGACTATTATAAAAAAAAAACACACAGCACATAAAAGCTTAACAACCGTATTCAGAAAATCCTCCCTAGTTGCCTGGGAGCTCTGCGGGTTCAGAGGAATTGGCAGGCTTGTTAGATTTTCCTGCCAGCTTACAGAGCCGGACGTGGATGTCCCCAGCTTGTACAGTTCTTTCTAAACACTATGGGCAGTTTATTATCAATAGCACAGAGCATGAATTACACAGAAATAATAGATTATTGCACTACATTAAGTTTGTGATTTGTAATAAGCACTAGTAAGGATGAAATTGTGGCCTGCCCTGAGATCTTATTAATCTGTTTTGTTCAAGTATCTTATTGTTGAAGAAGATATACCATGATTACTGGAACTCACTCCAGCATGTTGTGTGTAACGTAACATAGGGATCAGGTTAACATTATGGCGCAATTGCAAATGTAAGCTTTGTGAACTTACTTGACAGAAAGTTAAGAAGATGTATGTATAAACAAATCTGAATGTTTATCTTAATTTACTTTCAGCCTATTTTAAAGCAGCTTTGTTACTGGCAATTATCTCACTGCATTATATTCCAACAGAAACTATTAACTATAAACTTATTATCTTAAGTATTTCTACAAAGCCTCTTCTTCTTCAAAAATCTTATCTAATATTTTTTTTCTGCTTAGAGGACCAGAACTCATAGCAAATTCTGTTCCATAATTTTCATAAAAACCCCAAAACTAATGGTTGCAGGACTTCAACCATAGATTACACTTTTAAAGTTTTGAAAAAGAGTTTAAAGCAAACATTTATCCATAAATAGATCTTTTTCCAATGTTTCAATGGCTCACACTGAAAAAATATTTCTAGTAAATGTAAAGTGTCACTGAGTATACCAAATATAAAATGCTACTGTTTGGTCTTTTCAGATATTGACAGAATAATTGTGGATAAAAGAGAAGGGGGCCTGTGAGACATCTTTTGCTTCAGAAAGCTTCTTGCTTTCTGAGTCACTCACTGGTTGTCTAAGGTGACTGACTCCTTTTTCAGTCCTACTTGACATACATTTACAGTGAAGCCTCCCAGTGGACGAAATGCCAGGCTTCTGCCGTAAAGCTGCAGATTCCATTCAGTTTTGGGGAAAAAGCACCTAAAAGTTTATCTCAGTACCAAGGTACCCAGGTATGTTTATGCACTGAGCCATTTAAAAGAACTCTAACAATACAAACTTTTCACAGAATCACAGAATATGCTGAGTTGGGAGGGACTCACAAGGATTTTTGTGTCCCACTCCTGCCCCTGCACAAGACCATTCCCAAGGGACACATCATGTGCCTGAGAGCATTGTCCAAACGCTTCCTGGACTCTGTCAGGTTTGATGCTGTGATCACCTCTATGGGGAGCCTGTTCCAGTGCCCAGTCATCCTCTGGGTGAAGAACCTTTATCTAATATCCAACCTAAACCTCCCCTGACACAACTTCAGGCCATTCAGGTCTTATTACTGCTCACCAAAGAGAAGAGATCAGTGTCTTATTGTAGCATTAAACCTGCATTATATGGGAAAATTGTGGTTTAAACAGGTTTTAAAATGGCTTTTGGTGGTGTCTTTGCAAACACATGCTTCTTCTTCCCACAACCCCCTTTGTTATCCATGCAGGAATGTCCTGGGAAGGTGTCCTGAGGTGTTTCCCATTTGGCCTTTGTTAAGGCCTTCCTGTGATTGGGTGTTCCTGTAAGCCCCTTGAGACTTCTAATTGGTTACTCTGTGAATCCTCCTAAACCCTATAAATGTAACATCCCCAACAATAAACACTCTCTTGCCTCCTCTCCACGCCCGGTGTCCTGTGACCTGTCTCCCTGCAGGCCATGGGGCCACGTGCGGGGGGGGGGGAGGGGGGAGTACCTTTCCCCTCCAGGCTCAGGGCCTGAAAAAAGCCCTGGGATACCCCTGGAGTTTCCCTTTCCCCGTCCCTCAAAGCATCGCAATGGTTCTTCAGATGGAAATGGAACTAGAACTGGGCCGGCCCCACGCCGTGGATGGGGAAAGGAATCCAGATCTTATGAAATTATGTATTCACAAAAAAAAAAAACCTAAACAAACAAAAAACAAACCCAAACAAAACAAACCCCAAACCTCAAAATAACCCCTCCTTTCCTACTAAGATTTCACTTACTGATTTCTAATATGGAGGTAAGACTGAGGTATCAGGATAAAATGATACCAAACAAAGAAGATTATTGAGAAACTATCACAAAATTAGTTACTTAGAACAAATAACATTGAGATCACTACAAATTAGTGCGTACTTAGCACACGATGATTGAACTGAATGGAAATATCTAGAGATGAACTACGAAGTCACACTCAAACTGGCACTGGATTGTGTACTACTGGAGACTCGAGACTGAAGAAATGAAAATCCAGATTTCTAATGCCTCAGAAATGGAAATTAAGTCCACAAGAACAGAAGAGAACATTAAAAACCCAGAAGATAATGACATCATTAAATAAATCACACTAATGATCTGAGATCTGAGATCACAAAATTAAAGGGAGTTGATTATAGTAAATAAACTGATTTCAAATAAAATATTATTCCCTCAGGTGAATGACTGCAATTCTACTGAATTTACCAAGGTCACAAGGTACAGTCAAAAGCAGAATTATACTCTATTTTCCTATTTTTTTTTTATTAAGGAGCAACAAACACAGAAGACAGGAATTATCTAAAATTGTCTGAAGAAAACAGATTATACCAAAACTGAGAGCCATCAGGATCCTGTAATTTCACACCTGTAATAAATCATTACTGGTTCAAAAAGGCTATTGCTTTACTGTGTAAGAGAAGAAGGAAGCAGAATTATATTAGTATAGTAAGCCAACAAAACAGGCATTCCACCACCTTCAGAAATAAAAGCCTGAGCTAAGTTTATAATTAAAAAAACCTGTTTTGTATTAATTTTGAATGTTTCCCTTTAAGAAAAGGCTTTAGAAAAATAGATTGCAACAGTGAGACAACAAACACTAAAGTAAGGACAGTATAAGACTAACGAACTTCACAATTACAGGGCTGGCAGATGAGAAGGTCTTTAAGTAGAGATTAAATTATGTAGTCAGGTGCCATCAGATGTGGTGACGTAGCACATAGCAAGCACAGAGCTAAGCCAGCTTCAGACTTTCAATTCCATCTTAGGTCTGAAGGATTTTCCTGTTACTTGTCTAGTCTTTTTATTGATACTAACTTTTTTTGGTGATTGCCTTGCTCTCCGGAGGAACTTCAGCAGATTCAGAATCTTCTGGGCTTCTCTAGTTAAAAGTAAAGATAATGGATCAGTGTTAAGGGGCTCTTCCGATTGCTGCTATAAATACTGGAAAATGTCAACTAAATTCAAGCTATTTGAATAAAAGATAGTCAATTGTTATTTGTACAGATATCATTAGAATAATTTATTGACCACTGACAGTGTGATTGGTACTGCAGAAACACATGAGAAAGAAATCTCCCTTGCCCAGAAAAGGTGACAGTCTAATTCAGGTAGGAAGATATACAAGCACTGTTGTTGACCAAGAAAACCATATTTCTGCTTGAATACCTAAAAATCTGAGCCAAATGTAAGACTAAAAAAGGAGTTATAATTCAAATTACACGTTTTGATTTTGTCATGACTAGAACTGTAGTTTCCTGATGGAGAAGGTGTCCATAGGATTTCCAAGGAATAATAGGTAGAATCTCTTTGGCATTCACGCTCCTCACAGTTACTCTGTGAAAACACAAGACTAAGAGAGATGATCATAGATAGGTTTCACCCCCTTTCAAAATACAGGGGGTTTTCTTCAGTGTGGTGCAGCCTCCAGTGCCCTGACTCGGTTTTTGTCTGGGGCTTTGTCTTAGCACTAGACATCACTGATTGGGCATAGCAGCACATGAGTAGACTTCATTACAAGGAGTGAAATTTACCCCTATTTCAAGTGAAGAAAGAGGCAGTATCTTCATCCTTATCCTAGAGAGTTAATTTGATGCATCTGCCCCAACATTTAATTAACAGATATTGCAACTGTGGGGAGAGAAGGGAGAACATGAGCAATCTCTCACTCTCTCTACCTCCCTGGGGCTTTGTTTTCTGACTAGAGAAATTATTAGAAATTCATGTGAGGGAGAGATAAGTCAAAAAACTTGTTTGCTTGAAACTAGAAAAACTGAATTTATCATTGCTATTTTTTTTCCCAAAAAAGTGGGAAAACCTATTATGATAGCCAGTGAAGAGTCAACAACAGCACAAGAGTTTGGTGTTAGGACAGCAGCTACCACTCCAAAAACTGTAGCAGGGATGTATGTTGAGTAGAAAATGGAATATATTAATTGGCTGGCATTAGCTTGCTTGTGATGTGGGATATGTGCTGTAGAAGCATGAGGAGAGAAGGAGAAAGAATGTTTTTTAAATTCTGCATTTTAAAGGAAAAATAAATGTCTTTAATTCCTGTGATTGCAGCCAGTCATATGAATTCCAATAATTGTTCCACTTCTCCTATAATATTTATTCACATGCCACTTCTTTGAACTCTGAGTCAAAACTGCAAGACTAATCACTGACCTGAAGGATTTATAAGTTTTTCTTAGTCAACCAGTGTTTCTTTTAGTATTACTCACATGATTCTGAAAAATTGGCTGCTCTTGTACAAACCAGTTAAGCCAGGATAATTCATGTGATCTATATAGAACTTTGGGGGGATCTTGCAGCTGAGTGGAATGACATGATCATTCATTATCATAAACAGGAAGCTATGACGTGGCTCACAAACTAGTAAACATGTTTCACTCATCTGTTTGCTCTGTTTTCAATTGAGCGTTTCCCAATTGTGTTTTAAAGATTAGCAGTGACTCATGAGGCTCTTGCCCATCACAACTAAATTAGTAAAATGGAGTTCACATTATGGATCTCTGGAGAAACTGATTTAAATAACCTATGTACATAGGTACTGCATATAAACTGAGGAGACTTGTTGGAAAAAAAAAGAAAAAACAGGTTAAGAGTTATGAGTCAATGTAGTTTGCAAGGATTTATCTGTCTGGATACTATCTACAGGCCAATATAAAACCGTGTAACTTTTTATAGGTAAGCACCATTCCCATATATCCAGCTTGCTTATGCTACCCTTAAAATCTGTGGAAAAATGCTCAAGAACAGTCCAAGATTTAATCTGTTTATTAATTATACACTGAACTCTCACTGCAGAAAATCATGAAGTTTTTCCTCTGGAGAATCTGCCTTTACATATAATCAATTTTTTAAAAGAAGGAAAGAGGAAAATCTTCAAGAATTTTATTAACAAAATGTAGTGTAGGAGGTGAATTGTTATATCAATCTGAGATACACTGAAGAAAAGTTATTGTAAAATATCTGCACTTGAAATCTCTGTAAAAGCTCATTACAAACTTCAAAATCTAGAGATTCCTAATAATCATGTCATGTAATAACACCAAATCAATAGAAACTGAAAAATATTACTGATTTATTACATTAATTTGGTTCATTTTTTTTGAGGAATAGAGAAAGAAGAACAAAAAATCAGGGAAGTATGTCATATTGGTAACCTACCAACTGTATGGTTGAAGTAGATTTGCCTCTGCCTGAATGTTCATTTAATTCAGATTCCACTGGAAGATCATGGGAATGTCCCCAGTGCCCATTAACTAAAGAAAGGCCCTGCTGAATGAAGATGCTTTGCAATTAGTTCTGAAACCCATGAACACAGGTGCAGTATTTCTCAGCCTTTTGTGAAAATTTAACATTTTTAAGAATCAATTTTTTCAAAATGAAATCTATTTTAAAAGACTGTTGGCTAGCATCACTTGTTTCCTAATGCCTATTTTCTTAAAAACCCCTGAAAAGTGAATCAGATAAATCAGTGACAACCATATTAGTGTGATAAACCTTAATTTGTTTTAAAAATCAAATTAAAATTTGAAGCCGAGATGGATATAAAAACTAACTCTGAGAATTAATCTAGTTCTCAGTAGAAAAAGTTAAAAAAATTGTGGGATAGTGATAAAGCCCTTCTCCCAAATAAGTAACAAAAAGGACTCCTTTTTACCAAAAAAATAAAATATCACTGGCATCAAAATATTCTCATTCTATTAATCTCACACAATATTCTTATGGGTGACAATGATAGTGGGAATAGGGACTCATTGCTGCATATCTAAATCAGGCCATTCTTTGTACACCCTGCAAAACAGAACAAGCAAAGGTTTAGCCTTCTTAAGCAACACTAAGATTGTGTCTCATGCTGAGAAACCTAATGAGCCATCACATTTTGTGTTACATTATATCCTTGTGCATAATCATATTTTTAGGCTCCATCCACACTGAAATAAAGTAATAGCATTACTATAAACATGTCAGTGAGCAATGAGATAATATTAATATAAGAGGTTGGGCCCTACTGACTGCAACACACATATTAGATTTTCAAATCATTGAGATCAAAGACAGTTTGGAAATTTTAAGATTTTCAAGATCATTCTTGAAAATATCTTATGCTTACATCTATGTCTTTCTCCTTTTCAAACAGGGCCTACAGTAAACAACTGCCATTGCTATTTCACATGGATACATGCTTTTCACCTGCTCCAACGTGAGTCATAAATGCATGCTTATGGAACATATTCGATCAACTGTTCCCTTCTTAAGTTATAAATATATTGAACACATTCATGTAGCATGCACAATCCACAGAGCAAAGCAAAATAGAAATTGAAGGTCAATCTGGTAGGAGCACTTAGGAAAGCAATTATCAATGCTTCATTTAACTCACACAAATTATAATTATTTTCCACAATCATTTTAACACTTTGTACACTGTAAAATCTCAAAAGAGATTTTTAAAGGATAAATTGTAGAAAGCTTTACCTGTTCACGTGGTGTTACCAAAAGAAAGAAACACTTTTCTATCAGAAAAAAACCATGAATTCCTCCAATTATTCCCAAAAGTTTCCAAATATATTCTTTTCCCTCATAGAAATGTTCTATGTCTTGTGCTTCATGTTTATGTAAACCAAGAGTCTGAAATAAAAGAGATAGAGTTAAAAAAAATAAAATGGCAATGTTTTAATTTTTACTAGAGCAAGCCACAATGTGTTAATTCAATTTATTCTCGAAAATTCTCTTCCCTCAGTTCTTTCAGATTTAAATTGTGTTTTGAGCTAATCCTCTGAATAATAGATAATGAAATTAATTATTAGTAGACTCTGCTATACTTAATCTCTCAGTGATGGAAATAACATTATGTTTTATGAAATTGCCCTTTATGTATGTGTGTGTGTGTGTGTATATATATATACCTCATTTGGAGTACATTGTCTATAAAGTCTATAAAAAATAACTTGCATCATCTTAATATGTAAGTTTCATATTGAAAACAGACAAGGAGCTACTGGAGAGGGTCGAGCAGAGGGCCACAAAGATGATAAGGGATCAGGAGCACCTCTCTTATGAGGTGAGACTGGGGGAGCTGGGCCTCTGTAATCTAGAGAAGGATTTAGATCTCTTAGATCTAGATCTAAGAGAGGATCTCCTCAATACATACAAATATCTCAAAGGCTGGCGCCAAGACACAGTGCCAGATTCTTTTCAGTGGTGCCCAGCAACAGGACAAGGAGTAATGGCCATAAACTAAAACACAAGAAGCTCCACATCAACACAAGTAAGAACTCCTTTACACTGAGGTGGCAAAGCACTGGAACAGGCTGCCTGGAGAGGTCGTGGAGTCTCCCTCTCTGGAGACATTCAAAACCCACTTGGATGCGATCCTGTGTCATCTGCTCTAGGTGACCCTGCCTCGGCAGGAGGTTGGACTAGGTGATCTACAGAGGTCCCTTCCAACCCTAACTATTCTGTGATTCTATGAAAACAATACATAATTTATTAATGCATAACTAATGCATAAATCCATTTCTACCGGTGGGTGTACTTCCATTTTTTCCCCAGTGGCACAGCACGGCAGCCCTCCCTTTGCTCTGAAAGTGAGGTCTTTAAAGGCTCTGGATACATCACTTAAAACTGGTGAAAGAGAATACTTTCACACTCTGAAGGTGTTTCCGAAATAAATGCATTTCTGTCATGTTCGCTGAGAACTGCCTTCCTTAAATCATTCTCCCAGTTTTGCTTCCAGAGATGATGCATTGAGTACAAAGAATATTTTGACCAGAATCTCAAGTGAAGCTGTGAAGTTCTCTTTCTGCAACCACTAGAATTCTACTCATAACATGTGTCATATCAGAGGAGACTCAGTCAAAAGTAAATGAATACACAATGGAAAATTTGGTTCTGTTTTGCATGCTATCCTGTTCTTAAAATTTATTCTATGAATTTAGGACAACATCATAGCACCAATTTTATTACACTTATAGGCTGACAGCTCTTGGTTCTCTGGAAAAACATGTGGAGGGGACTGTGGATGCCTCATACAACCCTTGAAAAATTTCTCTTGAGACCTGTTACAGAATATGCCTCATGAAAGAAATTAATACACATCTAGAAACTTGTCTTGCACAGGACTTGTGGGGTTTCTGAAAAGTTTGTTTTGAAAACAGGAGCCTTATTTTCTTTGAATTCATCATTCATAGATTTCAGCTTCTTACTACTTGTAACGTCTCTCTGAACTACAGAGTGCAAATGTAACTGGAGTGCTGGGTAGATTTAATGGGAAGTTTATTTATAAACAGATGAGCATTATCCAGGTTTAAATAAAACTTTTCTGTGTGTACATGCACACACGCATATGTGTCAACATTTTAAAAGCACTGAAGTGTCTATGACTTACCTGAGGAATAAGATGTAGCAATGCATCTCCAGAAAGGGTTCCAACAGCCAAACCGACAAACAGCTGTAAAACGAGTGTATAGATTTCTTGACAGGAGTTAAATAAAATGAGAGTTGTACCAAACATAGATCCAATAGTAATAAGTAAAACAGCAACAGTGCTGTAACCATATTCTGTAGGGGAAAACAAATAAAACAAAACAAGGGCGACTTTAATCATCCAGTATTTGTATTTGTGTTTGAGTATTTGTTTTGCATTTGTAATTGGTTTTGAGGGTGTGTTTTGACACCTCTATGCACAAGCACACAGGAGAAGTGATTCATTGTTCCACTGTCTAATTTCAGCTGGGATTGAGTTAATTTTCCTAGAAACTGGTAGAGTGCAGTGTTGTAGATTCAGTACAAGAATAATGTTGATAACACATTCATGTTTTGGTTGTTGCTAAGTAGTGCTTACCTCAAGTCAAGGACTTTTCAGTGTCTCATGCTCTGCCAGTGAGGAGGGGCAGAAGAAGCTGGGGGGAGCACAACCAGGACAGATGACATGAACTGGCCAAAGGGTTATTCCATACCACAGAATGTCGTGCCCAGTATATAAACTGGGGGAGTTGGCTGGGAGGGGATGATTGCTGCTCATGGATGGGCTGGGCATCAATCAGCAGATGGTGAACAATTGTGTTGTGTGTCACTTGTTTCTCTTGGGTTTTATCACTCTCTATTTTTTTGTAAACAAACCAAGCTGTAAAACCTCAGATGGATGTAGGGATCTAATTTAGGTTCTAAGCATAAACATTTTGGTCCAAATTACATTTACAAATCTGCTGTGGACATATATCCCTTCAGTTACCACATCAGGACTACCAACTTATTTTTCTGAGGTTACTGGGATTTTTTTGAAGGTTACTCATAATTCTTCAGTTACACACCACTCACATTTCCAACCTTTTGCACAACATAAATCCTGATTAATCTGTATGAAATCTTATGATGGAGGTAAAACAGTGAAGAGAAACACACATAAAGGAACTAATGCCAAAATATTCAAAACTGTCACTTAATGTTTCACACTTTAAAAGCACTGCAAGTGCTCAGCACCTCATAAAATCAGACAGTAAATTTCACAGACTGCAAATCCAAATACAGGGTATAGTACACATTTATGGAAGGTCAGGCCTTGGTGACTTAGTCAAAACAGCACAGCCTGTCAGTAAAATAGAACTGAGAATAAAATTAATGAGCCCGTGCTCAGGTCACTAGGTCACACATAGGTCAAACATGGAGTTCTTTATCTGTATCAAGACAGCAGAAATGTTCCTGTGGTCATGAAAACCTTCCTTTGTCAAAAAGCAGAGGAAAAGGGCTGCAGTAAAGGCTCTTATTAATTCCATTATGCACTTGAATAGTTCAGTTTTTCTCATCTCTCACATTTATGAGATCACTAAAATATCATTGATTAGGCTGATGGCTTTAAACTTGGAAGGATCCTACTTTCAAGGTGAATTTTTCATCAACCTTGCATTTGACATGATTAAATTCCTTTCTTTTCTTTCTTTTTCTCTTGATTCCCGATCTCAAAAAGGGTCATATCTCTGTAGCATGGAAAAGATCAAAGCAGTAAAGACTGCAAAGTGTTCAGGTAATGAGAAGAGAGAATTCATTAGAAAGGACTGCTGCCTGTTTAAGACCCATAATGATTTTTCCTATTCTGTATGTTTTTTTCTCCTATAACCATTATTGGAATATCCATGACAGTCCTTCCATGGTTTTTTAATTTATATGCTGTTCCATAAGGATCGTTGGCCAACAGGCCATGGAGAAAGTTTAATAGCTCCTAAAAGATGTAGGTATTAAAACATAGATTTGTAGGCTAAAAAGTGCTGCTCTAGATGCAGGTGATTATGGTTAGATGCCCTTTCCTTTTTGTTCATTCCTGACTACCAAAATTAATGTCCCCTCTAATACACCAGCACACCTTGGTTTGTAACCACTTCCCAGATATTGCTGGTTTAAAGTAAAAAAAAAAACAACCAAATAACAACACATTAAGAAGCTTTTAAGTCATATCAGATTTAGATTTTTTTTTATAAGATAGAGTGAGGGTTGATTACAGGAGAAGTGGAATCAACGGAAGAGATGGGGCAGAAATCACTGGAAGTTGTGACGTGAGGGCTACAACTGTGACTGGAAACAATCTGATTATACTCTAACTCAGTTCTTATTCCAGCTCTATTACACAAGTCCTGCTGCCCTGTTACTGCTCTTCTGGATATTTTCCTCCCCACAGTAACATTCTCAAAGCTTCTCTGCTGTAAACTACGTGAAAAACCAGTAACATTCATGCAGAACTTATCTATATTGAGGATTTGCCACATCATGGTATAAAATGCCAGGCAATGTAACCTTGAGGCTATACATGTAAGCAATGCAATGATTCCAATATAAATCTGGTAAAAAATTCACAAAACAAGTCCTTACTGCCCAGCAACCCACAGATGAGGGCCTGTTATGGCCCACCTGCTGCCAACATCAAGTAGTCCCCAAATGGAGAGAATAAAGCTTAAAACCTTACATAATGAAATAGAATTCCATCTAATATAAAATTAAGACAGTTGAATCCCCGTACTTTTCAATATAGTACTACTATCTGAGATGTATGCTATGAAGTTATAAAGTGCATAAATTACAGAGTGCATAAATCTCCTCATGTTTTGGTTTATTAATGAATGAAATGTCTCCAGAAGTTGTCCCTGCACCTCTTTATCCAAATTTAAGCAATACTTTTTTAACAATAACATAACTCACTTTCCACAGTTGTTGGTGGAAGTCTTGTCTGCTTGAAGTCAGGAAGCTGACATGAACAACTTAAAAGTTGCTGAATGATAGCTGGACTGATTTGCTTGAAGTGGTCCTTGGAAATGGAGGAAGAACCATTTTTCAAAAATATCTTCACAAGTTCATTGGCAGAGAAACAAACCTTTGTAGAAGAGTATACAGAGTTACTGAACATGTTGCATGTACCTGCATTTAATGTTGAGGTTAAATATGGAATCTTAGAGGAACACAGGGTGGTACAACCTAGAAAAAACTTGGGGTTTATATACTCTTTTTTTATTAAATTAGTTTAATTACTTCAATTAATTCCATTTTTTTTTCAATTAAATTTGATGCTACTATATATTTCAGAAAGACCGGAGTCTTTGGAATGAAGCAGGACAATTTCTATGGAAGCTGGTTAATATCATAAGGATCTGATAAAATAATATCTCTCAACATTTTATTGTCATATGTGCTAAGAAAAATATTTTACAGAATATCACAGAATATGCTGAGTTGGAAGGGACCCACAAGGATCATTAAGTCCAATCCTTAGCCCTGTACAGGACCATCCCCAAGAGTCACACCATGTGCCTGAGAGTATCATTCAAACACCTCTTGAACTCTGCCAGGCTTGATGCTGTGACCACTTCCCTGGGCAGCCTGTTCCAGTGCCCAACCACCCTCTTTTTAATGTTAACACAAATCATAGTCTTAGTCATTAATGTAAAACTTCATTGTTTGCAATAATAGTGCTATTAATATAAGATACTACATCAAAAGCAATACTTAGATTTGTTCTTGTGCTGGATCTTCAGTAAGATGTGGAAATACATTGGAGGTTTTTAATTCTTTAAATAATGGCATGTCACTTTAAGGTCAGCAAACTAGATGTTATATAGTCTAAATCTGGTCTAAAAATTGTTTAATAATTGTATTATTAGAGGTACTTCAAAATTCAAGCTGCTTTTTGTTCTTGTTTGGAATATCTCTTTGTCAAAAGAAGGATCTTTTTCTTAGGAACCTTTATATTTCGACAAATTTTCATGAAGAATTGCTTTTCCACCTCCAGGATAAAACTTCTAGTAAAAACATGACCAGTTAGCACTAGAACACACTTCTAGTGGAAATTTCTGTAAACGCTTTTAGAGGAGTCCAGGTCAAATATGTTATCTTACTTAAAGGAATAATCTTCATTTCTCAATCTCATCTGATGAGTTGTGATTCAATTTAGAAAAATATATTTTTCTTTCATTTAAATTGGTCTACATCTGAGAATCAAGGGATTACTAAATACTTTTTTTCTAATCACTGAAGCTTAAGCTTCTTTTGAAATAAAATTGCTATTTAAATTAATTTTAAAAAAAAGTTGTTAAATATAGTTACTTTTAAATAACCCAGTTAAAACCCAACACCTTCCTTCCTTTGTTTATCCATTAGTGAAGTAAAATATGCCTTAAAGTTCACTAAGAAGCTGAATTAATCGAGCACTGATAAATTTATTCTGAAAACCACATTAAAGTCTTCAAGATAACGGATGATTTTGTCACCTGGACCTACTGTGTTCTGCCTTCAAGCCAAAGGAGAGCATGAAGACAATGAAGGAGCTACCATATTGGAAAAGACCTTAATTTTGCCTATTCTAGGCAGAAGTTTTGATGCTAGAAGTAGGGAACATCAACATCTGGTATCAAGTTGGTGGTTATCAAGTTGTTGGTTGATTATGAGCATCATTGCTGACCAGTCACAATAGGAATAATATTATTTAACACCTTCACTAACAAGTTGAGTGATGGAGCAGAGTGCACCAGATAGCACCGACAACTGAAATCCAACTGGACAACTAATTGTATGCTGACTGGCATGGCTACTGTTTAGAGGTTTCTTGACAAGCCAAAGAAATGGGCTGACAAGACCTTCATGAAGATCAGCCAAGACAAATTTACGGTGCTTCAAACAGAATAACCCCATGCGTCAATGAAGGCTGGGGAAAACTGACCAGAAGGAAGGTAGGTTTATAGAAAAAGCCCTTGGGGTGGGTTCTGACAGATGGCTTGAACATGAGCCACCAGTGTGCCCTGGTGGCAATGACCACTAACTGGACACTGGGCTGCATGAATTGTCCCTGGGGGACACTTGTGACCACTTGTGACCAGCTGCCAACTGGATGCAGCACCGTTCACTATCACTTGCAAGCCCCAGCCTTTTAAGCTTTCTAACATAGAGAGGCAGAGCACTAAGTCTCCGTTAGTAAAGCAACTATGTGTGTACTCCTGGAGGATGGTACTGAAGAAACAAGTAAATAAACTTTGCATATTTTCATGTGAAAAACTGAATGGATGGATGATTTTGGTTTGCAAAATTCATGTTTGTTTAATGAGAAATAGTAAAGGAATACAGATATTGTGACACGGTTTAATGGAATTTAAGATCATTTGTCTTATTAGATCACCTGCTACTTTCTTGTATTATACACATTTTTTAAATGTAGAGACAATGATGACTTAAAAAGAAAGCAATGACATTTTTCCTGCGATAATGTTTCAAATAATGATTCCTATCTAAAAATTAGATTACAGATCTTAATGTAGTTAGCAAACACAAGCCATAAACAAGCAAATTCCTTGTATGTAGCAGAATCTGTCACTAACAGAGCACAACCACTATGATAAGTGCAGAAAACATGGGACAAAATTAGCAACACAACAGTGAAACGTAAAGAGTTTTAATGAAATATGTCAAGGAAAACAGACATAGTTAGAAAGAAGAGGAATGGAAAAAAACCCCAGAGAATCTAGGAATTAATATAGAAGAGTAATTATCTTCTCTCCAGTTGTTTCTTAGTGATTTTTTTTTCATATATACAGAATACTTGGCTCTCAGCTGACTGCTCAGATAACTCCCCTAGATACTTATCTTTTGAGCTACAGTCAGTATCAGAAGTTCAAGAAATCAAAAACTGAGGTTCATAAATTCTTCTATTGTAATTTTTCTTCTTTTACAGTGTCACAACTGATTTCTGTCCTTCCTAGTTTAAAATTCATATGAAACATATTTAAAATGACCTCAATTTAAAGTTATTTTGAGACACCATTAAAAGCCTCATCATGATGATCAGCATGATTCTTTTTTGTGGGCAGCAGGAAATAAAGAAATCTATTGATAGAGTATGCATTTCACATTCCATAAAATGACACAGATAAATATCTATCTGAATGGCATTTAACCAGATGCAATTTGTCTCAGTTCCACATCATACAATGACCACACAGCAAAAGTCAATTGCACATCACTCATTCTCCTAAATGGAGAATGAACATTGTCATTGAGTTAATGTAAATTGCAAAAAATTGAAATTAATAGAAATGTGTCCTTTGAAGTATGTATTTCAAATGTATACATAAAAATATACACAATTTATTTTTAAATTCTTAGGATAAGGATATATTCACCTGCACTGAGCCTTCAAAGTCCTCAAAGAGGATACTGGGTAGTAGCTAGGACTCTGTCTTACAGACTCTCTACTTTCTAAAGAAACCTTCTGGAGTCCATAGACGGGTATTAAAAGAGTTTGGAAATGCCCAATCTTCAGTTTACAGAAGGCTTTTAAAAGCAACTTTCATAGAAATAATTTACTTTTTTTTCCTTAGTACAAAACAACCCTTCTTTCTACCAGGTCATTTAAGGGGGCCTAGAAGCTCTATGACATAAGAACACAAGAAATCTCTAATAATTGTGTGAAAACATTGAAGTCATGTTACTACAGTCATCTGTAACTATTCTGTTAGCCCTTCCCAGCGACATTAATCACATGGTAAACATCCATAAAGTTCTTTCCCCAATTAATATTTAAACAAATATAACTATATAAAAATATATTTCCATCAGTATCAACATGACTTTTTGAAACGAATACATTTTACCTCAGAAGTTATGTACTGTTTGCAAAACCATTTGAACTTTTGTCACTGAAATTCTGTGACCAATACCATAATAACAGAAAAACAAATTAACCTGGTCCCAATCTGTGTTCCTTTCACGATCTTCAAAATAGCCTTTCAGAGAATCTCCTTTTGTATGGTTTCCTTTGAATGGACTATTTTTTCTTCCAGTATCTCTGATTGCCGTACCGTAACGTCTTCTTTTGTGACTGTGGAATTGTCCATTTACAGTGCAGGTCTTTTTGGCTGTAAGCACATTTAGTAGTTGTTCTAGTTCTAGTAATTCATTAGAAAACAGATACGTTACCATGGGAAAACACACATTTAAAAGACAAAACCAAAAATAATTATTAAAATTTTGTTAGATACAACATTAATTCTATTCCTCATTTTAATACTCTTTTCTCAGTTTGGTACTGGAGGCTTAACAACTCTAGAAGTTGAAGACACCTAGATACTCAGCCTTTCTTGTTTTACATGCCCCACTCAGATGTTTTGCCTATGACTGTCTCAGAAGAAAACAGATGGGACTGAAAGACAATTCATCTTTCATTTAATCATCAATCACTTAGAAAGTTATCTAGTTATGGCTAAAGAACTTCACTGTTCTTAAAATTTTCCTGTGTAAATGGAACTCCACACTAAGTCATCATGGCCAGGTATTCAGAACAGAAGACAGATCCTTTATAGGGTGTCCTGAAATCAATCTTCAGGACACTGTGCTGCTCTTGTATTTCAGAGGTGGAACACAGGACAGCAGATTTTCACTCTTCTTTGGTTAATCAAGAAGCATGCCTGCTCATAGCACTGAAATAGGAAGGAGGGAGTCAAGATCCCTAATCCAAACCTGAGATAATGCAGGGATGTACTCCATGACATAGCTTGAATGCAAGGGGTGCTTCTGGTGATGAAATTCTTGGTTATTTGAGGGGGCATACCTTATCTTATCTTACTTATCACCTCCCTTACTCCCTCATTTTCAAATGAAACCATAGTGATAGTTTCTGTAAATCTTAGTTTGTCCATTAGAAACGAAAGCAGTCCACAAACTGATTTCAAAGGAGGTTAGGTCAGTGAGAATAAGAAAGTTTCTGTGTGATAATCCTTTAATGTTGCTAATCAGAAAATATAAATGGTATACTCTTAACAACAAATCTTACAAAAAGGCTTCTGATAAGATGTTTGACTACTTTTTTTGGCTACTTAAGCAAACGGATCTGTATATCTACACTGAGGTGTGAGTTACTAAAACATCTAATCTGGCTACCGTACAAGAATTATCCCATCTATCCCTAAAAGAGTTCTGCAATGTATGAAGATTTGCATAAAGAATCAATGTAAATGAAACCCCAGTGAACTCTACCCTCACAGCTAGATTGCCACCCTCAGAGCTCTCTTGGGTAGATCAGACGATGCTGTGCAATTCAGTTATAAAGTAATGTTGAATAGAATGTAATAATCTCAGTAGCAATTTGCTTTATACCTCTCTGAGAATTATCAAAATAAGGAGTTTCTTTTCCAACCTTGTTTTTAAATTTAGAAGAGACTACTTAACAACTTTAAAATGAGGACCTAAAATGAAGTGCAAAAAAGTCATTTAGGCATTTAAAGATAGTTTACACAAAATGTGTGTTACAAAAGGCAACTAGAGATTAATAAATAGCTTACCTGTCACTTGGAGCTCAGTGGTACTGTTTAGAGAACTGAAGATATATTTTATAAAGAATTCTGGGGAAGGTAAACTTGCTTTCCCCATGCAGACTCCCTGGAGAGCCAGAGTAATGATTAAAGCAGCCAGGCGTGGAAGAGTGTTTTCATCGGCACCATCTCTGTCCGTTATATCAGCACTTTTCTCCAGAGTGCTCACATCAACACACTGAAATCAGGAGAAAACAGCATGAAGACAGCCCTGGTCACCTTCATTTAAATAATCAGAGTGACAAGAGGAGAAACTGGGGAGAACATTTTCACAGAGAGCCAGAGTAGAAAAAATTAAGATTGAAGCTGTAATTGACAACAGGACAGTGAAGCAAAGGGCATTTTCATGAAAACAGACATAGAATTAAAAATCCTGAACTTTTATTCTGTGTCTAGTGGGTAAGAAGTACAGTCCTTCATTCAGGTTATTTGTGGTTAGTGTTATTTTCGCTTATTTTCATGCCATTTCTATTATTCCAGTGTCCTCAATTGCATCTGCATCTACTTCCAGAAAGTGGTAGAAAAGGGAGGAATTTTCATTAAGGCACAGGCAATTGACTTAAATAATATAGACCTTAATTCTTCACCTTAAACTAAAATGAGTATTCTCTAAATGTTTTTAGTTCCCTATATATTAAGTGGAAACAATATTTTGTTATGGAGTAGTTATCTGGGGACAATATGGAAAGATATAATTTTGCAAATAAAGAGTGACTTGTCTGGTGGGTGACCAAAAAGGAACAGTAGTCAGTGGTGTACAACCACGCGTGTGGATGTCTGCAGGTCTGTCTCCATTACCTGGAAACTTATCCCTGTTTTCTTCCATTTTTGCCTTTCTTGTTTGTTTCCACTTCACATGTTGGGGTTTGAAAGAATACAAAAACAATACAACAAAGGCAAAAAATATTTCTTTCTAACTCATATTAACTAAACTAAAAAGACAACTAGATGAGCAAGTATAGCAGTCGTTTATTTTATTCATACTCATCTCTCTGTCTGTAGGCCATAAACACTGCAGAGAGGATGTTGGCTGGCATTTCTTTTCCTGTTTATTCATTACACATCAAAATTTCCCCAACCCAACATTTAATCCCTCATTTCAAACAAGATATTAGGTGTTATGAATGAGAAGAGGATATTTTCTGTGAAACCAAAACACATAGTCACTAAAAATTATTTTCTTCTGTTACTATCCTGCATCATTGGTCCTTTTTCATAACTCAGGTGTTGTGATTCTAAGTATTCTGCTATTATGGTTTGAGTACCTTTCATAAAAAAACCCTCTTTTCCCTCAGGTCAGTGAGTGGTGAAGTTTCAGTTACTGGACAGGCTTGACAACTGATTATACTGCCAGCATAAGCAAACAGAATCCACAGTAAAGCACTTTCTGGGTTGTTATTCTATCTTGACATTCCAAATACACACTGATGCCTGTTTAGAGTTGCTCAGATACCATTGGAGTTCTTGGAAATCAGCACGTTCACCAAGACTCAAAAACAAAAGTACTGATCAATGAATAATTTATGATGGGAAATGTTTACATAAGGAAGACAGAAAGAGGAACTGGAGGCCCTCGATATTCTGGACACAGCCAGCACTCCTACCCATCTTCTGCTTGTGCAGAAAACTCTACTACAGTATAATGTAAGTTAAAATCTAATTATATGAAAAAGAAAAGGACAAATTCAAGCTTTGTAGTATACGAAATTTAACTTAACATTATGAACAGATCTAAGGGGCTACAAACAGGAGGTCAATCTGCACTTCAGGAGTTATCTTAACAGACAAAAAGCTATTTTATTGCCCATGACAAGGAAAACATTTTTTCTTAGATTTTGAACTATAAAATATTATTCTATTATTTTAGAGGTAAGGAATAATACTTGAGGTAAGGAATAATAAACAGCAATGAGAAAATTCACTGCATGTTTCCTGACTCTAGTAAGGATGATCTTAGCTGAAAATACTCAGTATTCTTTTTTTTTTTTTTAACTTTAAGCTTATCTGTATCAATCTTTCTACAAGGTATATCTGTGCTGGTAGATAATTAGTCACAAATGTATGTGTTCCAACTGAAGGAAACCATCATTTGGATAGATTCCTTATTCCATCCTGCTTTGGATGGACATGGAAGTGTAGAACCTGGCAAGGATTTCATCATAGCATAATGATTCATTACTTCTCCTGTACAGCCCAATCAGTTGTGGAGCTATTCTGCTTTATACCATTTAAATACAATCACTGCTAGTGTATATATATATATATATATATATATATATGCACTATAAAATACTGAGAGATGCGAAAGTATTTTCTGTCCTTGGAGTCAAGTGCAAGATCTTGCATCTACACAGCTATGCTCTTTTCCATCTGCTTTGAGCTGGTCAACTGCATGTAAATTACCTATTGGGAATGGTCCCTGATATGCAGTATTTCCCTAGCCATGTCTCAGCAGACCCTGTGGAAGTGCTAGGTAGCCAAAAGCAACTCAAGGAAAAGGCTAACATTAAACAGCATGTATAGCAAAACACCAGTGTTCAGCCTGTGCTCTCACATTGTTATTTACGGTTTTCTGGCAGACCACAATAGTGACACAATGTCTGCACTAACATATAGGCATTATATCAGTAGTAAATATGAAACTATATTTACTTATGTTTTCTTTACCTGGGTTTCAGAAGTTTTAAAATGTTGCCTTACTGCAGCTAAAATATCTTCAGTTTCATTCCGTGAAAAATAATAACAGTCTTCATCATGTCTTAAACTAAGCATACTCTGGAGGTAAAATTTATAATCCTTATTATTCAAGCTGAGTTCTGGAGAACATACATCTCTGCGATGAAGAATGTGGTAAAGAAGAATAAGAGAAATTCTTTCAAATACTTCTTCACTGAGATGGTCGTCTAAATCTCCTCCAGCTACTAGCAACAAAGCATCTGGTTCAAGGCACTGTGAAGAAATAAAAATAAATGGAAATTCAACTCAAGTAACACACTGCCAGGCATCTTCAAATACAATTAGGAAGGAGAAATCAACCTTTATATTCAACTACACAGATGCAGGCTGATGGAATGGCAGGAAGAAGGTACAGGTAATTCATTGCAGTTCTGTGGCTGCAAGAGCACACTCTGTTTTTTGTCCAGTGACACTTTTGTTTATAAGAAATACCCCAGAAATGGGGCTTTGAGCAACCTGGTCCAGTGGAAGGTGCTCCTAGTCATGGCAGGGGGGTTTGAGGTCCCTTCCAATAGAAATCATTCTATGAGTCTACTCTGTGATTCAATGATTTGATGATTTAAGACTCACAACAAATTAGGACTAACTCTGATCAATCATTGTAGAGATTAAAAGCCTTCCACTGGCTTCAAAAGATTATACTTCTGGTTATAAATATATAAGATAAGGGTTATTAGGTAAGGCTATTCATATTTTCATCTGTGCATTCTACATCGTAAGATAAAAACCATAGTTAACTCAGGGTATGTAAACAGAAGTTACATGATATTTGATGCACTGTTGAAAGAATTAATTGACCCTGTAATCACACAGTTATTTTTATGTTTTTCTTAATGAATTCTGTTAACTGCAACAATGCAATACAGTGCAGAGAGCCAGCACAAGGTCTCAACACAATTTAGTTCTTCAAATACATTTCAAAAGGCACTGAGATTATGTATTCACCCTGTCCAGACTTTCTATCTGAGCACAGATTTTTTAATACATGTATATATACATATGTATATTTACATATGTCTACATAAACCTCATTTTTTTAATACAAAGACAGTTTCCAGAAACTTTTGCTGGCTCATAAACAAGTTAGTCTTTAAAATTAGACAAGAAGACTAATAGAGGTCTATGTTAGGCTATGAGAAATTAGATACTGAACTCCAGAATAAAGAATCTTCCTTGAAGAGATCCTGTAATTAATGTCATTCACTGTTTATCTGCTTTTTTCCAACAGACTCCTTTCCAAGCATGATATAGATGTGTCATCTAATCTCAACCATTACGGTAGAGTAGCCAAACTGTACATTTCAGGGAAGAAACTACAACATATGAAGGTACCACTGAAGGATCAACACTGCACTCTAATAAGTTCATGTATACATACAGAGTCTAGTTTTTCAGAACAACTTGTTTGTGGCTACCAGCATGCTATGCTGGTCAGTGTGGCTCACCCTATATGTTAGTTCATTTTTCTGCACTGAAGCTGGGTCAATGAAACACACAATGGTGTGTTCAGAATCTAGTGTTCCTTGGAGGGACTGAGAGAACTGCGACTTTTTAATATAAATAATTCTAACAAAAATTCTCAAAATACTGAGTCTAAAAAAAATCCCAAGAAAAACCCTGTGGATATCAATATTTAAATTAACTATTTATACTCATAAATTAACTAGATTGCAGTATACTCTGCTACGTCCTGCTTACAATGCTTATCAAGGGCTGTAACTCTAACTTTTTCTAACGCATGTCTCTGGGAATTAGTATTTGGGCTAGGAGGAATATGGCTGTTCTGTTTTCTGTCCCAAAGACCTGAAGTTAGTCAACCAGCCTTTATGAACACTGAGTACAATAAGCACACTGCATGTAGTGGAAGATTTTCAAAGATTTCTGTAAGATTTCAAAATCCAGTGAGGATAAATTGTAATCAGTGAAGCCATTGTTTGCTCTTGCAAGGAAGATGACTAAAAAGAAAATTGCTAATTGGAAGGAAGCAGGTGCATTGTAAAAGATGCAGTTACTCCACAGTATATGCCTAGCCATGGAGAGTGACTCTTGAAGAGATATTAAGAGGATATAAATTGGTTCATCAGTGGTTTGGTTTTGTTGGGTTTTTTTCTGCTACTAATATTTTAGAGGAATAACATCTGCATGTCCTCGATTTAGAAATTCTTATTTGGTATAAAAGAGAAGCCCAGAACGTGGGCAGTGAACTCTGAGTTTCTTTTGTTTAAAGGGCCAGAAGTTCAGAAAAAATAGTCTTACCAATGCAAGAAATATATAACTTCTGTGTGCTTAGGAGATAAAGAAGTGTCAGACGCCACTCAATAGCTGCCAGCTCTGGCCAAAGAGTCTTGGGGCCAGTATGTAAAAACAAACCAAAAGAAGTCTAAAAAAAGTGTTAAAATTTCACTGCTTTTAAATGCCCATGAGAGACATCATTAAAAATAATAATTAAAAAATTTTTAAAACAAAGTCATAGTATAAACAGAATTCTGGATTTAGAAGAGAAAGTTGAATCTGAAATCAATTAGTGATTCCCAAAAATTCCAAGTTAAGGTGGGGCATTCTGTTTCAAATTTTGATGATATTGAAGGATAGCACTTCTTGCAGAGTTTTTGATGTCTTGGTTTACCAAATCTTGTTAAATCATCATGGAAGATTTCAGCACAGTGCCATGTGGGCTCCATGTGACTGAAGATGCCACGTCTCTCTCATGGGTTTCCTATAGAGAACTGTGTTCCTGTGGCACTGACACAGAAACACTGGCAGTACAGGATGCGTGCAGTGTTTCTGACCCAGCCGACACTGAGGAGCACTGCATATGGTGAAAGCCCTCAAATTCTTCCCATGAGAAATTTCCAAGATGAAGCCTGAAGAGAGTGGCCACACTGACCAAAGTAAGTCCCAGCTAAGTTTCCCTTAGATTTCTTCCATCCAAGGTCATAGCGGGAAGACTCTCCACAAATACAGCACAAATACATATGGAAAAAATATACCAAGCAAGAGAAGAAAAACAAAGAGGACAAACAAAAAACTAGAATCCTGTTTTGTGAAATTTAGGAGGACCCATGTTTAACACATTCTCAGCTTTTGATCTGGGTCCATATCTGATCCGTATCTCTTGCCCATATGTGCATAATCTCCTTCATAAAAAATATATATCCATTTAGGCATCTACATTACTTATGTACAAAATTTCACATTTGGGTTCATATGAGAAACGGGAGCATTTATTGAAAAGGTCAATCAAGTAAGTAGCTCTCTACTGCATAGGATAAAAAGATCGCCAATTCATTGGTTTGGCAGATTGCCGAGAATAGTACCTCATGAAAGCATTCACCTTTATGACCACCCTCATTATTGTGGTATAAAGTGAGACTCTGCTGTATGTAGGTCACTGAACAACAGTGCCAGAGCCAGAATAATGTCATTGAAAGCCAAGACTGACCAAGCCCTTTGTCGTCCTTTTCAGCGAATTGCCCACTTAGCACTGTGTCTGTCCTTTCTTCATTCAATCATGAATCAGTTCTGCAAATATTCTCAACTCAACTAGACAACCAATCCTTCTGTGAAACTGTACCCTGGACTATTTCCAGTTTCAATTTGGATTTGTAGATTCATTGTTCTGCCTTTGATTTTCTTTGACCTGAACTGCTTACCAAAACCCTCCTCTAAATCTTGAATGATTCAGTGAGGTGGCACTTAAATCTGAGACAATCCTGTCTGGGTTTTATTTTTATGAAATAAAAGCAAAAAAAAAAAAAAGCAGAACTGGTCCCCAGTGTTTACCTGTGTCTTTCCATGGTGGAAATCTTGTGCCTAAAATTGAGACTCATGCTTTACTGGTAGATCAGATTAAAGTAGAAAAATTTTGGTTGGAAAACAAACATTTAACAACTTCTAAAGGAAAACTATTAGTGTTATGTGACTGAAGCTTGGAATTTTTAAGGAATGCATGTCATATTTGGAATATCTCTTCGTGAGCTTAAGTAATAAATAATAATTCAAAATTAAAAAAAGCAGGGACATTTTTTTTCTTTCTGCAACAACAAGATTTTTACATGTTTAGATTCTGTATTCAGGACTGTATCACTCTAATAAATAATGTTACAACTCACTGACGATGCTGTAAAGATATCCCTCATTAATTGAAGCACTAACCATATTACAATCCTCTTGCATGCCATAAATCCGCTGTGGGCATTCAGCTCTCTCCAGTAACATTTTGACCAGTTCTCGTGAATGGTTCATGTGGAGCTCAGTGCTTTCAGCTGAAAGAACGCGTAAAGCTTCCATCAGATAGCCTCTGCTGGGAGCATAGCTGCCATCCTGCCCATGCTCTTCCCCAGGCTGTCCTTCAGCAATGAGCACGCTGAATATGAAAGCAGAACATACCACCCCAAGAGCTGAATGCTTGGTCAGAAAACACATCTCCTCTTCTTGCAGGCAGGGATCTGCACTGAATGTTGGATTGTTGTTTGCACTTCAGAGCTTAAACTGGAAACCTGAGGAATCTGAATGGTAAAGAGGAAAAAGAAACCCCAACCCTTTAATTAGTGTGAATGCAATATGTTTGAAAGGATTTATTAATTGGTCGGCTAAGCTGATTTGCAGTGACAAGCTGTTTTTGAACAACAGGGAGCCTGTAAGGGCTTTACAGCACGGAACAGCAGGAAACTAAGATAACCATGGCCTTAAAACTTCTGTAGAATTACCAACAAGAGGTTGTCTGAAAGTGCCCTTCCCTCCTCTTAAAAATAAAGTGTATGTCTTTCACTTTAGTTATGTTTCTGTATTCATTAATAATTCCTTTTGGTAAGAACAGGAAAATACCATTGCTTTCAGTTTCATTCCATTATGAAACAAGTTTCTAGTAGCAAAAATAGCTGTAAATAAATATTACTAGTGTAATACTGATATGAATGTTCAGTAATTATGTTATATAGCAATGATAGAGAGCAGGTTATATTTTCAAAACACTTTACCAATGTTTTGGTATACAGCACAAAACAAGAATGAACAGGACATACTTAAAAATTAGTCATGTTTTATGATCAGATGAAAGAGTTACGAAGCTGAGGTCTTAGTTTCACTCAAAGAACTCAGTGAGTAAACACACCCCAAGCAACAAGTTTAACTTGTTAACTCTAGGTGCAAAAGACGTTTTGTGCTACAAATCTGTCTTGTCACTATCCTCCCTAATAAACCACCACCTCTGCTTTAACAATAATCTATCTCAGTGTCTAATCACAAGAAAAATGAGTTTCACCTCTGTTTTCCACAGAGGTTTTGATTTTATTGATGGGCATATACTGGCAGTGACATACATACCCAGATAATAATGCACATGTGCTAAACAGCTACACATACATTCAGTTTCTTCTATCTGCAACATAAGACGTGTGTCTTATTTTTAAGGAACCCCTGCTAACAAAGTATTTAAAATGAAAAAGAACGACTGAATTCAAATGCGCATTCACTCAGATAAAGGTTAAATGTTAGGAAATCCTTTGGTCTTTAGATATATTTTACTGTTAGCAGTTAGGAACATGTATCATTGTTACAAGGATGTTACAAGCATTTATTTCTAAATGTTATTTTCTTACCTTCTGAAGGGAAAAAGAATGTTCGTGTATCTAGCTTTGTGGCCTTCTGAATCCTCAGAAGTATTTAGCTGCTGGAAGTCCAATGTTTTTAAAATTCCTTGATGGTGCTCTGGAAGTTGGAGAGGATTAGTTTATTGCTGCCTTGAAAAGTTTTCAGTTGCTATGGAGAGAGCTGCTCTTAAGGTAACAATGGAGGTGGATAGGAATTAGTACATGTTCTTCTTGGCAAATTCTAAGCATCGCACTGTTGAAGGTATTTCACATATTTTAGTAGTTATCATTTTATGTAAACAGTATTTTAGCAATGCAAGATGTATAAAATTATGAAAGAATGTATTTCATTACGGTGAATAATACATGCAAGCACTCAACTGTTCTCTAGGCTACTAAATTATCTGATCAAATCTACAACAACCCCAAATTTCTTTTTTTCTTAAAATATTACTACTTTTTGAAAATACGAGAACAGAGTAGAATAGAAATCTTTTCAAGCACCTCCACAGAAAAATTATATTTCTTGTTTGTAAAACACTGCCTGTAGAGAACAGTCTCTTTCATCCCCACTTATTCTGTGCTGCATTTGCACTAACTAAAAAAATGGGATAGCTCAGACTGTGGTGAAAAAAAATTTCTTTCACCCACTCAGATTTTCCAGAGGGATGCTGTTACAATGTTGGCATTTACCTCACCATGCCATTACAATATCATTGCACTGGAAGTTAGTGAAAACTGTCACGGTTGACAGATTTCCCCAATGACAGGTACACCAGTCATTTCATTCTCCCACCTTCCAAACCTTCAGTGATGTTATGAAGGACTATCAGCTCAGCTGGCTCAAAAAATCCTGTGAAGCAGAAAGCTTGTAGTAATAGAAACACCATAATTCTCTTTAAATCTAGATTGACAAAAAAATCCTGGGTCCTAAAATGTATGTAATATCTCCTATAAGGTGGTGAGCTCAAAGGGAACAGCCTGAGAACTGACAATGGATACTGACTATAAAAAAATTAAACTGTTAACACCAGCTTGAAGGAAGAGAAAAATGTACAGAAATGTTCTCAAAAATACAAAGTACAACTGCATAGAAGTATGCACAAATTCTCGTGTGATCAAGGCTGAATATTTTAAAAATCAGTCCTATGATTAAATAGTCTTTTATTTTACTTCATAAATTACAAACTATATTTATCAAACTAACATTGCTAATTATGCAACTTTATGCAAATGAGAATTACAGAATTTTTTATATAAAAATTTATTTTTATATGAAAGACTGAAAAGAAGAAACACATGATAGTATGCATGTTCTCTGGCTATTAAATAATATGCTCTATCAAAAAAAGCTTACCAGGTCCAGATTTCTTCTACTAATAAAAATAATTCCTGAGATAATGGAGGAATAGCTTCCAGCATTTAATTCTGGGGATTGCTCAATTTCCAAATAAACATAAAATAGGTTTATCTGTATATAATTTGGTGGTTTGTATATAATTAGAAATTGAAACTAAGAATTCATTCCATCCAATTAAAGTGTACAAACAGTGGGAGAGCTGTTTCAGTTTACTGAGAGAAGCTAACATTTAAAAACACATTTGATGATTTATAGCTATTGAAAGCTGCTGAGAGATTTACATAATAATAATGGCTACAACTTTAGCATTTATATTACAGACTGATGGTAAAAAAAAGGAAACAATCAGTACATTAAAATGTAACAGATAATATTTGATACATGCTATTACAGTTGATTCAAAGGAGAAAGGAGAATTCACTTCCCTTTTTATGACTAAGTGTTGCAAGCCTTCTCTGGCTTGGAAATGAATTTCTCAGTGGTGGCGAAATCACTGATGGTGACTCAAGGCTCAGTTTCTGCTTTTACCCTTGACACTGTGATTTCAGTCATGCCATTGTCATCAAAGGATTTTTCTGTCTATACAGCACTTGGATTACTACTTTTGAAGTAATTGCTGGCATCAATCGCTAAGTCCTTTTTTCAAACACTTCAGTAGCAGCATTATTTCCCTGCTAGCTACCCATCCTGAAGCTGTGTCAACTGATAAAATGGGACAGCAATAATAACTGATCTGTGTAGTTAGATGCCCATTAGAAGTTTGCTAAGATACACACACAGAAATAAATCACTGGTACAGTTTAATGTCTTAAAACCTCCCAAAGCACCTATCACTATTAATGTTGTCTCGTGTTATTAGACTTTACCGTTTTGGCTCAAATTTTATTGCATGTCTTTTGGTGCATTTTAATAAAGTTCATGCACAATGCTCATAAGCTAAGCCAGAGACTCTCCATTTAGTGTAGAATGATAATATGCATGTAAGAAAGAACTTTAAAAGGAACTTGAGAGTTGGGGTAACTCAAATTCAAGTAGCTTACCATTCTAACATGACAACAGACTCTATATGGCAAAACCAGAGTTATGGTGAACTTCCTGATTAAATAAGCAACTTAAACATTTTTTTTTAGTTATTCCATTCCATTATTAATTATTGGATTCTACACTACACAAGGTACTTAAGTACCTTGGCATGATCAAGCAAGGATCTGAGCTCAAGAATTTGTAGAGATAATCAATATTTTTTAATTAGTTTGAACAGTTACATTGGTAGGGTACTTGCAAGAGAGTAACTAGTGTTGTTGACAGACATAGGTATATGTTCCATGAAAGTATGTAGAAGAAATAAGATAAAAAGAAGAGTAATAAAAATGGTAACCTCATAAAACTCTTATTTTTATTTCACAATTGGATTCATGATCCCAGACAACTGCATATGAGATTTTATCCACGTACTGATAAAATCATTTGTATTTAGAAAGCTCATATAGTAATATCCTAATTCCATTCTCAGTGAAAAGGAATGAAGGGAATTTTCAAATGGCATAACTAGATGTAGAGCATGCAGCAAGCCCTCTTTGGTTATAGGATTTTTATTTAGTTGGTTTTAAGTGAACCAGTAAGACTTACTGCAGCTTATCTTGTTTCTCCCATCCTTGCACCTGCTGTGAGAACAAAAGCAAGTTGCCCCTTCACAAATGCCATGGATAACTCCACTCTGCAATTTTCTGGGTTTCAAAGGATTGGTGAAAAAATTATGTAGGAACAGAAACCTTCTTTAGAGAACTCACTCTGAGATGACAGGGACATTCCCATGAGCTCTACCAACATGACAAACGTCTTAATTTTATTTGTACAGCAGAATGGGAGTGGATATAGGCATAATTTTAGCAAGACCCCTGCTGAACTTCATATCATACTGAGAAATGCAGCTATATAACTGCTATTCCTTCAGTACTGTGTAACTCTTTTTGATGAACTAAGCAAATGCCTTTTTTACTTTTTACTAATCGCAGCAATTATGGCAAATACAAGAGAATCCTCTGGTACTGCAGATTTCCTCCATGTTATTAATGTGATGTGTGCACTTTGTATAATTACAGCCATAGGTAGAATATTGACATATGAAAGAACTACATTTTGCATGTAATTTGTGTAGAATTTCAATATATAAAGCTTCTATGCCAATGAATCAATGCCAGAGTTCTGTAATAAAAAATGTCAGTACTTTAAAATTGCCAGTCAATTAAGCTTCTTTGGCATCACATGTCAATCCAACAATATTGCATATATTAAGGTTGCCAATGAATTAAAATAAATAAATGCTATTTAAATTATCTGAATTACATATATTAACATAGAGTTATATATATTAATATACGTACCTGGAACTAGTCTTGTTTTATTTAAGGATTGCAAAATTCACCTGTTATTAGAAAGTTTTTCTTAAACCTGGAAATCTAGTTACATTAAAGTAGAACAGAAAGAAGCCATAGATTACTTCCACTCTAGGCCAGCAAAGCCCTTATATTTTGTAAAATATACCTCCAGAAGTGCCTTCTCACATATTACAGAATTAAGGTGATATTTATTGTCCTAAAATATTACTGTCATGAAAACTGAGTTTTTAAATGAAATTAAAGTGTTCATTTATATGGAAAGTGTAATCTAAAACTTCTTTAATTGCCTCCATCTTACTACAGACTTCTCCCTCACACAATCTCTCTATTGCTCACTATCTGGCTAAATTTAAAACAAACAAACAAAAAAACCCCAAAAACATTGAGATGTAGAGGTAACTATCAAGACTATTCAATGATAACAATTATGATCAAGAACCTGAACACAATGAGAGATAGTAATATCTTGGGCAAGAAAAAAAGGGGTTTTCATAAGGATGGATATGTTGTTTCTCATTTTTAAGAACACATGGGAAAAAAATGGTCTTGTGATCATCCTTAGAAACTTTATCAGCCTAAGTTTATTGAAGGTATCTAAACAAAGTACAGCCACCAAACTAAGTCAGCTTCAGTTATCTCACCTCTCCTTAAACTAAACAGATGCAGAAATAAGCTACTAAGTTTTTCACTGCCTATTGTGTTGTTTTATCCTGGAGTGTTATCAGAATATTATTATGTATACTTTCTTCCTGCTCCTTTATATTTCCAAAGAAACTAAAACCAAGTTGATCTTTCTAGCAGTGTCTAGTAACTAAAAAACCAAGTTGATCTTTCTAGCAGTGTCTTATCCAGTCCAAAGCATTTACAGTCCAATTATACACATTGAACTATTAATTTAAATATCTCAAATGAAATATTAGTATGTAGTAGAAATGTAGTATTACTGTATAGAACACCAAGTGACATTTTAATGGGAAAAAATAGGTTTTAAAATTGAAAAATAACCTTTGACAGTTATACTGTTCACCTTGCAGTAAACTGACATGTATTGTATGTTGCATCTTCAGCCATTGACTTCTGACCCCAAAATATTGATTTGTTCCTTTCCTGCTGATACTCATCAACTTATGCTTGAAAAGCACTCAAATGTTCTTTATGTAATCTGCGTGTTTTTCCTTTATGTAAATATTCATAAAATATTTATAAATAATTTTTACTATTAGGGAAATTGAGATAACAAGTGTTTACTAACATTACTTTTTGTTTTTCAAACTATGAGTCAGTGTTCAGTTGTTCTAAAGAAATTCTTACAATTGGGAGAAGTCATTGCAGGCAAACACCTGTTGCCTGAGAGAAGACTGATATTTGTCAAGGTCTACTAGCCTACCTAAAAACCAAGTCGGAAAGCAGATTTCAGGCATGGACCTTGGA